TCAACATCTGTGAGGAAGCATAGGATGCAGTGGACAGCTCAGATGAAGTTTGACGATCTGAACTTCGCAGATGAACTAGCTCTTCTATCCCACACGCAATAAAAAGTTTAGGAGAAAACAGCCAGTGTAGTCGCAGCCTCTACAGAAGTAGATCTCAACATGGTCCGATAAAACACAACCTGCGCCAGTCAAATCACACTTAACGGAGAACTATTGGAAGATATGGAAACGTTTACATACCTAGTCAGCATCATTGATGAGCAAGATGAATCTGATGAAGATGTGAAGCTGAGGATTGACAAATCTACGGAGACCAGCATTAACCACTTGTGTGACCGATATATTTATAACTGCATTGGTCATAGAATAATGATAACTACTGTCATGTTTGTCTAGTTCTTTAGGGTTGATTGAATTCTATCGATTAAAATGAAATATGATCACCAGTTAACTTAATGTTATCCACTATTTTCTTTAATGACAATATTTCCAAGATTTTTTTTGGGAGTTCTTTCACATTTTTCCGCAAATGAGACATTTATTCCCGTGTTCTTACGCAACACTATCACATTAATGTACAAGTTCTTATGTTAATATGGTATCATTTATGCATTCGGTCATTAATATAACTGGGTAATTCAGCTCATTTATATGGTAATATGGCTGAGTAATACATCATCGTTTGGTCGATATTATTAGTATTATTATTACTAAAAATACTCATTTCTTAGTGTACTACCTATGATGAAAAACTAATCTGCATTACGGGGTTGTGAAGATTAAGTTACACATTTTTGAAACCATGAATCAATCAATGTTAGACCACCATTAGAAACCTGGAAATATTGGAAGGCCGTTTACGTCCTCGTGTAGGACTCCTCAGTAGTGCGCATCCGCGACTCCCGCACCCCGCAGGATTCGAACCCAGGACCTTCGGTATTGTAGGCGAACGCCTTACCATCGGACCACTAATTGAAAGCAAACACTTCCACATTTTCTGTTTAGCAAATTTAAATCACTGTATTCGTTTATCTTATTTGTTTCACTTATATGAATTTTAAAGTTTCCGTTATTATTGATAAAGGATCAACTTATCTTACTGGTAATATTCACAATTAAATTTTCATAAGCTTTTGTTCGTGGGGATTATTTCAGTACAGCTACTTTTTAACAAGTTTTTAGAAATGAAAGATAATGCGTAACAGTGACATTTAAGTTGAGCATTTCGTCCTATCTAGGACTTGTCAGGCAGAGATGTAAGGTGATGGTTGGGAGTAGTCGATAGGAAAACTGTAGACTTTTGTTTCATGCAATTTAGCACTCATCAACAAGGTGCTTCAGTAATCTTGACGGAACTGATGCTGTCTGGCAGATTCGATCTTATATTATCCAAATAGCAAGAAATATAGTTTCTTAGTATCATATAGACTAACTCCAATCATTAACTTACATCTTAACATTGTGCACGAGATATTGAGCCATCTAAATTATTAGATACATTGCAGCCTGATCTAAAGAATTCATTCAGGACTAAGAAAGAGACGTAAGGCGTATGACATTTATCACTAACTAGTAATCGATCAGTTGTAAGTATCTTATGCACTTACACTCGAACCCGGTACATTTTATTTCGAACGTTAATATGTTACTAAAAAGTAGTTGATTCCAGACAATCACCAGCTTGTATGATGTTAGCATTGTTAACTCTGCTGCTAGAAAGGCTAATACACAATACAATCTTTAACACTACAACTACTAGAACTAACCCCAGCTCGTAAAGCTATAGCTGAAAGAGAAACAGAAAAATACTTTACTCTATTAAGTGCCCAAATGTACAGAGAAAACATTGTGTATGCATAGTTTTTCGTAATCAATACAAACATCATTTAAATCATCCAATCACAGCTGTAAGCATATTCAAAGCATTTTCTGAAGAGGAGCAAGAGGAGTAGGCAGTGAATAAAGAATGCAAGCGAAATTTATTTGATAGATAGATTGTAGTAAATAATTCGTCAATCATGAATAAAGAATGTACTGGTTAGGCAATTCATATAAGGAGAAGATTTGTAATGAGGTTGTATCACCAATGACAAAAAGTTATGGAAACTACAACTAGAAGCTTCTGCATATCGAAGTGTAAATCATCTCTGAGTGGATTCAAGCTTTAATCTATCTTTCATGTAAATACCACTGAGAATAAACCTGCAATATTCAAAAAGTTGTCGAACATATAACTTGTAAATTAAAATACATGACTTATTGTTATAGAGGTTAGGAAATATGAAACCCAAGAAACATTGAGACTTAGAGATTTGTTATGCTACTTGTTCTAAGAGAAGGACAAATAATGAGAATACCTGAGTCCCAAGTTCATTCGTTTATGAAACCTTATCACTGATGGTGATGTCTGGGTTGAGTAAGGGATTACTAAAGTAGAATCCATTTATATTTAGCAATGTTAAGCTCAAATCATATCCGGATCACCAACGGGACACTTGATTCAACTCTATACTGATTCAGTTATCCATATAGTTCAGTTCTTGAGGGGAGAATGGGTGCACTACTTTAAGGTCATCTGCGTACAAAAGAGGCTTACCTACACAGAAGCAATCACGAATATCATTTATGTAAGCTAAAAAGAGCAATTCATCTAAGACACAACCTTGTACTACTACACTTTTGACTGAGACAGCATCCAATAAGGAAGAGTTCACTTTGACTATTTGATGTCAGTGACCGAGAGAAGAACTGAACCAACCAAGCAAATAGTTTTCTGATCTCGTAAGATGTAAGTTTGCCTATAAGAAGCTGGTGATTCACCATGTCGAAATCTACAGAAAAGTTAAAGTATAACACTAAGACTAGGTGTCCTCGGTTACGTTGAGTAATGACTAAATGGAAAAAGTCACAGTGGCAAATCATACGAGATCGATCTTGCGAATGTTGAGAATAAGTGATAAGGTTTTCAGTGAGTAAACAGTTAGAAAGTTCATCACCATAACTTTTTCCACAATCCTAGAGATAACAGGAGTAATATTTTTGGGCCGAAAATTGTTAATGTCAGGCTTATTTCCTGATTTGTAGCGTTGTATGATTTATCAAGTTTTTAAACAATCAGAGTAAGTACCAGTCTCCAGAAAGATGTAGCGAGAGAGAGAAAGTAAACAGTTTCAGAAGACGTAGCGGCAAATGTGAAGAGAATGGATGAAATCTAGTCTACTGCATGGCTGCTTGAGACCTTAAGGGAGTTAATAGCTTTACTTTTTGCTAGATGAGTGGAAAAAATATAAATTATTGTCAATGAATCATTGTTAGACTACCATTAGAAACCTGGAAGCGCTGAAAGACGGCCAACAAGTCCTGGTATGAGACTCACCAGCAGTGTGCATTCACGACTGCTCTCCCTCGCAGGATTCGAGCCCGGGACCTTCGATACGGTAGGCGGACGCCTTACCATCGGACCACTGGACCGGCATCTGACAGTGTTAATGTTTAACTCTAATTGATCTAGGGATTTTGCGCGACCTCACCCATTTGTCTTTGGTAGTTAATGCATACACCCGACAGGTTTGAACTAAATTGGTCACTCCAGTGCTTCCAGGTTTGTAATGGTGGTCTAACAATGATTGATTGATGATTTCAAATGTGTAAAAATGCAAACCTCCAAAACTCTGCCCCAAAATATCGTAACAGTGCGCCTGTCGGGTGTATGCAGTGACTACCAAAGACAAATGTGTGAGGTCACGTAAAATCCCTAGATCAATCTGAGTTAGACATTAACATTGTTGGATACCGGCCCAGTGGCCTACAATGCCGAAGGTCCCGGGTTCGAATCCTGCGAGGAGCAGGGGTCGTGGATGCGCACTGCTGATGAGTCCCATACCAGGACGAAACGGCCGTCCTTCAGTGCTTCCAGGTTTCGAATGGTGGTCTAACAATGATTGATTGATTGGTGATTTCAAATGTGTAAAAACTCAAACCTCCAAAACTCTGCCCCAAAATAAACTATTGTGTTACTAGTCACATAAATGACTTTTGAACTAGTGTTGGTTAAAAAAGTCCACTGAGTTAGCATCCTTTGACATTATGTTTAACTTCCGACAATCTGAAATCTTGTTCAAACTTTCATCTATTGCCTGAGCTAGAAAGAGCTACGCACTAGAGGGTCATGTTTACGTGCAAGAATGAAAGTCTTGGGTTCAATCCCCACTTTCGAGGTCGTGCAGTCACTCTGCCCAGGATTCTTTCTCATAATAGTACAAGACTGCCGTTCAGTGTTTCTAGGTTTACAATGTCGGTCTAATTAACATCATGTCATGATTTCAATTGTGAAAATACAATACAATACAATCTCCATAAATGCACTATACTAATGTTTTCTTATTGTCTAATCGATTAAGTCAAAGACAACTGTTTTTACTTTCCTATTCATTTATCAAAAACATTAAATCTTAAATAAAATAATAGATTGTTTACTTATTTATTTCAATGCATTGTCAGATGATATTATCATTAGTTAAATGTAAATACCCTGTTTGAAAGAAAACAACATCAACAACAACCATGTATTACAATGTAATTTACATGACTAATTCATTCATAATGATATGAGGAGAGATGAATAACAAATAAACAAACAAACAATTACTATTGTGAATTCAATCTTCACTCTCTATACAAGAATTCGCCTTACAATTGAATCTTGAATGTTTATTATTTTGAACATTGAACAGGTTATCATGAGTGTGAATCATTTAAACAATCAAAATAGTAAAAAGAAAATTTTGATTACTATTTCTTTCCTCAACTATTGAGATGAATAAAAGATAAATGAAGACTTGGAATGAATGAATGAATAGATGAAAGAAGGAAGTTGATTGTATTCTGACATGGATAAAATAGTAAGAATTGTTTGCCGCTATGCTTTAATTGGGTGAGTAGACACAATTAAAATGCAATAAATAAAAATTATACTTGTAAAAAACAATCTGATAATTAGTCTATTCAATCACTATTTTATCGTTGTTATTATCGCCTATAGTAGTAGTAATAGTAGTAGTAGTAATAGTAATAGTAGTAGTAGTAGTAGTAGTAGTAGTAATAGTAGTAGTAGTAGTAGTAGTAGTAGTAGTAGTAGTAGTAGTAGTAGTAGTAGTAGTAGTAGTAGTAGTAGTAGTAGTAGTAGTAGTAGTAGTAGTAGTAGTAGTAGTAGTAGTGTAGTGAATGAGAACACAGGTGGGGGCAACCGAATTGTATTTAACGAAAATTACAGAGTTACTCAGTAAAATCGGAAAACCATATCGTAAATCGTTCATTTGCAAAAGATCAGTTCATACTATGGAACTGGACTGTTCCTGTTGCCAAACATCAATCCATTGTCACTCTTCATG